AAAATTAGGTCAAAGACAGACGGAATCTTCATAACATAAGGCATCTATATACAAAGTATGAAGCATCCAGGTCTACTACCTTCTAAAATATAAATCTTTTTAGTAGTTAGTTAACGCCGCCGCCGGATCATTTTCCCTATGTCGAGCTTTCTGCGACAGAAGTCATGTAAAAAATGGTAAAAAACGTCACCGAAGGACAATAACTCGAGAATCAATGACCTTTCCGATTACGATTACATAAATATAGATCTAGCTCTGTTGGTTATTTCCGCTGCTTATATTTATCTATCTATCGAACCAAAGTTTTCGCTAAAAAATAATAATTTGTTGCTAAAATAGTAGCTGAAAGAAAGTCCTGGACTGCTCTGACGTCCTTTTTCTAGTTTGCTGGGACAGCGGGACGTCAGAGCACAGTCAATGAAGAAAACAATGAAATCGCCGATCCAGACTTTGGGATGATAATACTTATTTTCACGTAGATAAATCATACATCAGTCGATTCCTATTTAGCTCACCTGGCCCAAGGGCCAAGTGAGCTTTTCTCGTCACTTGGCGTCCGTCGTCGTCCGTCGTCGTACAACTTTTACAAAAATCTTCTCCTCTGAAACCAAATTTAACCAAACTTGGCCACAATCATTATTAAGGTATCTAGTTCAAAAAATGTGTCCGATGATCCCGCCCGCCAACCAAGATGGCGGACATGGCTAAACATAGAACATAGGGGTAAAATGCAGTTTTTGGCTTATATCTCTGAAATTAATGCATTTAGAGCAACTCTGACATGGGATAAAAATGTTCATCAGGTTTAGATCTATCTGGGTTGATATTTTCAGACGAATCAGACATCCCGTTGTTGGGTTGTTGCCCCTGAATTAATAATTTTAAGGAAATTTTTCAGTGTTTGGTTATAATCTTGAATATTATCATAGATAGAGATAAACTGTAAAAGCAATAATGATCAGCAAAGTAAGATCTACAAATAAGTTAGCATGACCAAAGTTGTCAATTGACGCCTTTAGGAGTTATTGCCCTTTATAGTCAGATTTTAACAATTTTTCGTAAATTTTTGTAATATTTTACAAAAATCTTCTCCTCTGAAACTACATATACATTGGCTAGAGGTATAGGGGGAGGGTTGAGATCTCATAAACATGTTTAACCCCGCCGCATTTTTGCGCCTGTCCCAAGTCAGGAGCCTCTAGCCTTTGTTAGTCTTGTATTATTTTTAATTTTAGTTTCTTGTGTACAATTTGGAGTTTAGTATGGCGTTCATTATCACTGAACTAGTATATATATTTGTTTAGGGGCCAGCTGAAGGACGCCTCCGGGTGCGGGAATTTTTCGCTGCATTGAAGACCTGTTGGTGACCTTCTGCTGTTTTCTGTTCTATGGTCGGGTTGTTGTCTCTTTGACACATTCCCCATTTCCATTCTCAATTTTATTTTTATAGACAAATTCAACCAAACATGGCCACAATTTTCATTAGAACATCTAGTTAAAAAAATGTGTCCGACCAACCAACATAGCCGACATGGCTAAAAATAGAACATATGGGTAAAATGCAGTTTTTGGCTTATATCTCGGAAACTAAAGCATTTAGAGCAAATACAACGGTGTAAAAATGTTCATCAGGTTTAGATCTATCTGCCCTAAAATTTTCAGACGAATCAGAAAACCCATTGTTGGGTTGCTGCACTTGAATTAGTAATTTTAAGGAAATTTTGCAGTTTTTGGTTCTTATCTTGAATATTATTATAGATATAGATAAACTGTAAACAGCAATAATGTTCAACAAAGTAAGATCTATAAATAAGTCAACATGACCAAAATTGTCAATTGACCCCTTAAGGAGTTATTGCCCTTTATAGTCAATTTCTAACAATTTTTCTTAAATTTTTTGTAATCTTTTACAAAATTCTTCTCCTCTGAAACTACTTTGCCAAATTTAATCACACTTGGCAACAATTATAATTGGGTATCTAGTTTAAATATATGTCTGATGACCTCGCCTGCCAACCAATATGGCCAACCCAACATGGCTAAAAATAGAACATAGGGGGTAAAATGTAAGTTTTGTCTATTATTTTGAAAACCATTATAAGAGAGAAAATCTGACGAGAGCAAAAATGTTCAGGATGTTGAGCTATACCAATTGTCCATATATGTCAAAACTGTCAGATGACTTCTAATAGGATTTTTTGCCCTTAAATGACAAATTTTACTATTTTTTTTATTTTTGCCTACTATCTTAAAAACTATAATAGATACAGAGAAACTTTATAAGATCAGCAAGACAAGTTCTACAAATAGGTCAACATGGTCGAAATCGTCAATCGACTCCTTATTAGAGTTATTTCTCTTTGGTTATGATTTTGACCAATTTTATGCGTTTTTTGCCTTATATCTTAATACTAAAATAGACAGTTAGAAACTTAGCTAGGCAAAATTAATCAGCAAAAAAAAATCTACAATGAAGACAATAAGGAGGAAATGGTCAGACGACTCCTTATTGGAGTTATTGCCCTTTAAAGATGATTTTCACCTTTTTTTTGCGTTTTGTCATATATGATAGAACATTATTATAGATAAAGATACACTTTAAATCACAAAAATGATCAGCAAGTCAAGATCTACTAACAAGTAAAATTTGGCCGATATAGTTAAGTAGACTGTGACTCTTTATAGGAGTGATTGCCCTTAAATGAGGATTTTTTTATCCTCTTTTGTGTTTTGAGCAAACTTTGAACTAATGAAGATAGAGAGAAACTAAACAGGCTAAATGATCAGCAATACAAGATCAAAAACAGATTTTTGTCATGAATTCTATTCTTGTCTACAATGTTGGAGAGTGTCCTTTGTTGAATATGCACATAGGCCAAGGTGAGCGACACAGGCTCTTTAGAGCCTCTAGTTTATTTTACTCCACGAATATGTAGTTTTTATTAACGTACAACCCCTTTTCAGAGGATCAGATTTAAAAACTTTTAACGTCGATAGACGACAGACAACGCCAAGACAATCCATGAGAATTTTACAGAATAAACGTAATCTTTAAAGATAAAGCAAAGTGCCCTAAACATTAAAAGAATACAGAAATAAAAAAACCATCCAGATTCGGCACTAGATAACTTACCTTATATAAATCAAATATTAACAGCAGTAAGTGTCCTTTCCTAGATTTAGACATTTCAGTTTATACCAGAAACTCTACACAAAAATTCACGACAAAAGGGATGATTTTTTTCCCTATTGTTAATTTTCCTTTTTTAGACGGTGATGTTCTCTTGCACCATCTTACGGTGTTTATATATCACAACTAGTTCGTTATGCCCGTGTAGTGACGTTTTGGATTTCAATGAGCGTAATCTATGTATTACCGGTAAATTATTAAGTCAGGAATTTCGTAACCACAAATTACTTAAAACCTTTACTAAATCAGTCTTCCATAGATACAAAGATTTGGTTTGCAAGTTTGGCTGTACCTTTTAAAAAACCTATTTCAGACGGAATAGCACATCCTAAATTTTACGGTGATGTTGTTTACCGAGCCCGGAAATTTATATACGATCCGAGTAAACTTATCAATTCTTTCAAATAAACTTATTCTAAAAGGTTACCAATTCAACACTGTAATTAGATCTTTGAATATTGTTATTGGTATAAATATTGATTTTGTTATCAGTAAATTAAAATTACACTAAATAGTTTTGTTATACACATATGCACTTTAACGGTACTACAATCTGTCGATACCTTTATTTTGGCATTGCACAAGGTCATGTTTTTCTCTGACTGTTGATGACGTCTTTACACTAAATCCATTGGATGTTGGATGTGTACTGTTTGCTATTTTAGTCTTAGATACATGATTTTTTTATTAGTTGTTATTGGCTTTGAAATAGCTTTCAGTAACTGCGAGTACTCTCAGATCTGTACTTAGTGTTCTTTTTGTTGTTAGGGATGAGGGATGGATAAATACCCTGCCACGTCTGGTCTTTGTTTTTGTTTTCTGTTTTCTGCTTTGTATCGATCTGATGAGTTAAGCCTTTTTCAACTGATCGTTGTAGTTTGTTCTTATGTTGTACTATTACACCACTGTCCAAGTTTAGTGGGGTTGACGCGGCGCTCACAAACATGTTTAACTCCGCAACACTCTTTATGTGCCTGTAGTTCTGTTGTTGTCGTTGGTTCATGTCTGTCATATTTGTTTTTCGTTAATTATTTTGTTATAAATTATGCCGTTAGTTTTCTCAATTGAATTGTTTCATATTTTTCATGTCGGGCCCTTTTATAGCCGACTATACGGTATGGGTTTTTTCTCATTGTTGAATGCCGTACGGTTGCCTATAACTGCTTACATCCAATTTATTTTAACTTTGGTGGATAGTTTTCTCATTGGCCATCATACATCATCTCCTTACTTTTATATTGAGACCCAGATTGGTGAAAAAAAAACCCATCATACAGACCCTCTCTTAACAACAGTCCTATGAGTGAACAGTATTATTGTACTTTGATTGAGTCCAGTAGGCGTGTCCAGTTGTAGTCATCTTTCTGATTGGTCGAAAGAATTAAAAAATACTGTAAACAAAAGCACATGGCAAGCGTTACTCTTCAGCTGTTAAAAAAACAACCGGGTATTCAGGCTTTTAATCCTACAAATTATAGATTATTTGAAGAAAAGGCAAAAGGCAAACATATAACTGATGCCGTTGTGAACTTGGAGACAATGATTTAGAAGAACATCGACTTCAAACAAAATATACAGTTATAAATGTCTTTGTGTCGGTTTGATGTAATAATACACATTTAATACGAACGTGTTTAAACCTATTATTAATTCTCCGGTTTATCTGTTATCATATATATACTCATCCGCTGGAATGTATATTGAATAACGTATGTCACTCTGAGCGAAATGCTATATAATCACCGCCCTGTTTCTGGATTATATTTAGCGAATGCGCAGCTGCTGAAATTTGTGGAGTGAGTCGGTCGATCAGAGGCTAAGATAACAAATATTTTGACAGTTATTTAAAGTTTGTGCTAATGTTAAAATAGCACATAAAATTGTGCGATGTGTATCTCATAAACGTGACTTTTTTTTGTTAACAATGGATTACAAATTCATCTTAAGGATATGTTTTATAACTTTGTGTTTTATTGGTAAGTCTAAAAGCTTTTGAATACAACCTTTAGCCTATCCATTGAACAATTTAATGGTTAAATATTTCAGTTTAATTTAACCAATCATGCAGTTTTACTCTGATATTACTAAAATTAACTATAAAATGACTTTATTTTATTTGTATGTGAGTTTAAAAGATTCCCATGCACATGGTGTAATTATTAGAGGTGTCAGGACTTTTAGTCTCAGCAGGGTGTTTTCTGTAGGCCCCCAAAATTAATAGCATTTAGATTATCGCCTTGAAAGGGGTGTGAAATATTCCTAATTTATAACACAGAATAGATAATCACAATAATTACCCTTCACAGCTATGTCACTTGCCTAAGGTCGTATTTTTAAGTAATTAATGTCGTGTTATTAAATGTCATACTAAGATTTTTACACTTCCTAAATCCACATTTAGCACATTATAAAATTTGTCTTTCCACTTAAATTTCACAAAGAAACTGTAGAAAATAAGCTTCAATTGCAACACTCTATGGGATTTTTTTGTAGTTGAATTCTTATCATGTTATTTAATTATTTTGAAAATAATTGCTTTTAAGCAGTTTCACTGTTACTCTAATAAAATTAAAGAAGCTAGGCTTACAAAGTATGTATATCATCAAGGAATTGTATATTTAAAAATATACATTAAATATACAATTCCTTGATATCATAAAACATAATACAGCACATGTTATTTGCATATTTACAAATTAAGATAACTTTGATTAAACATGGTATTTGCATAAAACCTGTACTGTGAAAAAGACCTAAATTAATTAACAGTGTCTATTACATTTTTAAGAAATTATTGAATGATTTATGGATAGATATACCTTTAGTTTTTAGATAAACTTTGATTGAATGCAGATGCAAGTTGTTTTAAAAGATCCTGAGGAACAAATATTTTATTGGTTTTCTTAATAGCTTTGCAAAGATTTTTTTTGAATAAGAGTAACATATGAAGAACATTTGCATGTTTTAAAAATATATTCCAGGAGCTAATACTATGAGTATTTTGTAACTAGTTTACTGTGTGTATGTATAAACCATGTCAAGAAAAATATGTGCTTAATTTGCCAGATAAACATTAAAAAATATATATTCTGATTATTACAGTGTGAAAATTTTGTTAATAGTAATTTATTTTTCATTTAGTAGATTTTCTAGAAATATTTGTAAAAGAATATTAGGTTTATCCTGGGACTATTATACTATATTATGTCCTAGGTTTATCTGAGACCAGTTAATTTATATAAATTTTATAAAATGTTGTTTGTTCAAATTTTTACAATAAAAATCATTCAATTTCAATAAATATCCATCAAATCTTTTTTTTGTATAACATGGTTAGTAAAATGGTGAGGAGAATTAAGACATGATACTACAATGGCTTAGCCTGGTAACCTAAGTCAATTGTTGACATATGCCTTTATCAAAAATGTGTGGTATTTAGACTTATCCATTGAGACACAATCTTTATTTAAAGAAATAAAGCTGCAATGTGACTCATTCCAGACTTGCATCTGGAAATATTTTGTCAAGAATGAAAAATGGGACAGAAATAAAGTTCTTTGTGAAATATATCACCTGCTATGTTTAGCAGTGTCGACAGTGTTTAAACAAATATTGGTTGGTCCACACACATACAATAACAGTAAATTAATTATAAACCATCTAGTATTGAATAAATTCATCAAGGGCTGATGTGGCATTTAGGTACATGTGTTATTGTTTTAATTATGCTTGTATATGTATAATATTGCCGGCTATTTACACTTTATTTGATTTGATTAAACTATTGGTCTGTCTATTAGAATTGATATACCCTGATTTTTTTTTAAAACTCTTTCCCCTTAGCTTGACCCTCTATTTGAAAATTAATATCTTGTATTATCTATACTTTTTTGGTCTTCCAATATAAACTTGCTACTGGTATTACTTGGCCTGAAGAGGAACCTCCTTCCTTGGCCCTATACATGTATATATATAACTGTTGAACTTTTTTCACAACATTTTGTTACAATAGTTCAGAAAAAATGACCATGACTACAGAATCGTGTGTCACAAATAGCTGTAGAACTGTTTTTGTTAGTGCTCTACATTCTCTTACTATCCCCTCCCCCTTCCTAAAAATTGAAAATAAAGTGAAATAAGGAATTAATGTGAGATATGAAAGAAAGAAAGAATGGTTGGTAGCTATAGTGTTGTACATAATAAGAATTGATGTAATTATTGTATCTTATAGATCAGGATGTCAGAACATTGTTAGATACACTAAGAAACTAATAAAACCAATGGTGTAACTGTCAAGTATGACTGTGATAGACAAATAGTACTCTAAAGTGATAATAACATGGATATCAAGCAGGGCTTGCTGACAGGGCAAGTTATTATAGGGTAGAATTCAAACAGGAAGATAAACTTTGTAAACAAGAATGTCACACACTGTAGGGGTATAAATCCAGCAACTTAGTAAACTCTGATAGCACACACAACAAACTGATATATCTAGAGATAAAATGGATAACCATATTGGTCTTCAGAGTATTAATTTGATTTCACTGATTACAAATTGTGACTGCATGTGTTATGGTTGTGTTGTGTAACAATTTAAATAATTGGTGCTTTAGTAAATTAAGAAATAACCCTCATCCCTTTTAAAAAAACAAACAACTTATGATACATGTATAGTTTCCATGTGCAAGATACACATTTTATTGAATAATCTTTGTACTGTATTCCAAAAGTTTGTCAATCCAAAAGTAAAAAAATATAAAAAAGTTTTATATCATCGGACTGCATGTTCTGATGATAATCTATATATGCTACAGATTTTAAAATTTTTGAAGTATACAGAATAAAACTAAGTAATTATCCCATCAGTATTGTGTTGAACATAATGACAATGGTTTGATTCCTTCAATATTTATGCCTTATTGAACTATTCAGTGGCGGATTCAGAGGGGGACCAGTGGGTGTATGTTCACCGTTATATAACTGTTTCCTTGTATTACACCCGTTTAAAAAGTCCAGGATGTGTCCCTGCACTTTTCTAGATTTTAATTTGAAAATGTAAAGGTCTTGCAGCATTTTGTTGAAATTTTTCATATCAAATATAATTGAAAGGACTAAGTCAGTATGTTGTGTTGAAAATGTTAACTTCATAGTGCCTCATTTGTTTTGAATAAAATATTCTTTTCCGAAATTACATCATTGAAAACTTAATTGTGCTGTTTCATTACAATTGTAATGATTCGTTGATATTGGTAGGCAGTTTAGAAGGGATGCTTAGAGAATAAATAAAAGACTCTTTTGAAAATTTTCTGGTAAAATGAATTAAAGACGTTCAACATAAAAACTTTATTTAAATCTTGGTGGCTTAATCAACTTTTTCCCTTTGAATGCATGTTAAAAGTTTACTATTGGTGTGATTATTAGATTGCATGTGGTGAACATCTTATTGTCCAAAATCTAAGAGACGAGTTTAATTTAAAATTTGAACCTTTGGTCCAAGCATATTTGTGTATTCTGTGTGTTATGTACCTTTCATAAAACCAAGATAACCACTTTATGCACTTAGTTAGATGTACCACTTCCTCAGATACCTTCAACCAAGAGATGTGTTTTACAAAAAAGGGTTGTCAGTCTCCAGTTATTGGTACTTTTAATTACAATTGGGTTTTATATGCTATTAACATGATGGACAAACTTTCAAATAATACTTAACAATTTATGTTCAATTTTCTTTTGAAAGTTATATACTGATATGTTATCTAAGTAATGAGAAAATGATTTGTTGCATATTTTTTCACTCTCATCCTAATGGCCATTAGCTCTTTGATAAAATGTTTTTCCTTTCCACAAGTTGCTACAGCCTAGGATTATAGGGCCTATGAGATTATTGATTGTTTAACTTTTTTCATCTCTGATATCCAAGGTAGCTATTGAAGGTGATCCCAATTTATTTTACAAATGCATTATGATTTTATTTTGTACTTTGTAAGATACGGTATTAGCATAACTAATAGAATTCACCTTTCCACCTAAAGCGCATTTCCAATTTCTAAGTAAAAAAATCATGTATTTAGATTTATAAAAAAAATACTGATGATTGGGCTTGCAAGTTTAGAAAAAAGCTAAAAATCATTAAAAGATAGGTGAAACCTATTTTGCTCTACAAAAACAGTAAACTTTATGGGACAAAAAGTTGTGGATACACTTACAGTTTCTGTTGGGCCCAGAGGTCTCAAATCAAAATAGACTGTAGGTCTTTAAGACGCCACTTACAGTTACACCATCTGATATTGCTTACTTTATATGAGTTTCATATTAGAAGTCATATTATTGCTTTGGCCAAAATTGAAGAAGTCTTCATGATAATAAAACAAAAATGATTATCCGAAGTTAACTTTTTTCTGTAACATAAAGTAAAATAACAAAAATAACGAACTCCAAGGAAAAATCAAAAGCTCAAATACTTCAAAAGAATGGAAAACAACTGTCATATTCCTGACTTGGTACAGACATTTCCTTCTGTTTTATAGCTAGCTTAACCTTTCACTTGTATGACAGTCGCATAGAATTCCAAACAAGTTTATCTTGTGAACAAGCGATTTAAAAAACTAGCTCAGCATGTAGGTCCAGTAAATATCTGTTCAATGGTTTGCAAACCATTCCAATTCAAGTAGGAATAGAAGTTAAAAAAATTAACAGAATCAGAAGGTCATTCAAATGTCAAGGTAGATAGAGCTACTAATTAACAAATGTCTCAATGGTCTTGTGATAGAGTGCTCACATCAAGTTCAGGGGGTCAATAGTTTGAAAACACAGCTGAATTGAACCATAGACTTGAAAAATTGTAATTATTGCTTCTAGGCACTGATGTACTCTGCATTTAGGAGTAAAAGGAAAATCGGATAGGCTTAGACAGAGTCGTAATTGCAAGTGTCCATGTAGGGTGACATGTCTTAACTACAGATTCTTACCTCTGAACAAGCACTTTAAAAATCTACCTAAGCATAATGGTCTAGAAAAAATCTTGGTTCATATTCACATAACATAAAAATGTACTCTTCCTGTTCAGTATGTAATAATTGTCACTGGATGTTAGACAGTGATCCATCCATCCTACTTATTAACAAATAATAAGTTAACAAAATGTCAAAATGTAGACTACAGAAATTTATTATGAGAGCAAAAATTGATTTGGAGCCAACATGTGGACCCATTCTTTTTTCTGTGAAATGATTTAACTTGATATTTCATAAATGAACTCTTAACTTCATTTATGTTTTGAACAAATTTTGTTTTTGTTTCAGGATTAGTTTGTTATGCACAAGACACTTTTTACTTTAGTCAAACGCCAAAGGACAAATCAGTGGTTGAAGGAACGGAAACCGTTCTTTTGTGTGATGTTAATAATCGTAGACACATTATATTTGACTGGATTCAAAGTGGAAAACCAGTAACTAATACGAGTAGAAGATTTCAGGAAGGGAGTTACCTTCGTATTTTACGTGTTACCAGAGATGAAGATGCTGGACCATTTCAGTGTATTGCTACAAACATTACATCTGGATTTTCACTACAGAGTCGAGAAGCTACACTTAATATTCAATGTAAGTAATATTTATTTGTTAAGTTGCTGGGAAATATCTAGCTTTCTTTGGTTTATTTTCCATGGATACCACTTTTTATGGTTTTGAAATTCTATGTTGAGGATATTGTGGTGTTTTTAGTTTGTTCCTCAATAACAAATCAGATAACAGAGAAAAAATAGCTGGACCTTTGACCTTGCAAATCAACTGAGGAAGATTGTTGAAGATAATGCCACTGATTACAAAAGAAAAGTATCTTCATTGCGCACAAAAATAATGAGTGCTTATTTGGTATACCATTTCAAAATTTGTACAGTAATATCATTTAGATTTGCTTTGATTTTCATGAAAGGAGTAAGTGCGATAAGGCCCTACCCAATATGGCCCCTATTTCTTTTTTTTTTTTTTAGCTGTCAAAATTAGCACCATTTCTCTTACAGTGTATCTGATAGTTCTGATTTCTGCTAAAAATTCAAACTTTTAGTTTCAAAAATATGTCTAGAACTAAACTAAACATGGCACTCCTTTTGCACATTTATATATTTCATCAATAAATACTGTTGACAAATTAGCTCATAATCTGAGATTGAGCATAAAAGTTGGTAAGCAGGAATGAAACTTTAAAGGATGATTTGAACATGTAAGAACATATGTTATAAAGTGAAGATTATACCAGTAATTGCACTCGGAAGTATATTGGTTTGATCTTGTGGATTAATAGTTCAGTTGTTTCAGAATTCTGTAATATAAATGATTTAGTTTGTATGTGAATTCTGATTCTTTCTTAGTGATTATGTTATTTTCTTTTATTATCCAGTAATCAAAACTGTTTTGGTTGTCATTATAAAACCTTCCATAAGAATAATGGCTTGATTTGTCTCTTAGAGAAGAAAATTTAGGTCTGACATGTTTTGTGTAGGATGTGGCTGAGTCAGGATCGTAAACTTATATTTGCATATATGTGGAAGGAAGATACCTTGCATTGGAGACAATACAATATCTTCCATTATGAACACTAGTTTTAATAACATATGACTTGGATTTGATAATAACATAGGACTTGAATTTGAAAAACTCTATCACAAATGACAATTTTGATATTGTGAAAGGGCATTGTGGCTTTTGAATACCAGTGGCGTTTCTAGAGGAGGGCTTAGAGGGCGTAGCCCTCCTTTGATCACCAAAAAAAAAATTTCCCGTGAATTATATGATTTTTGGCATAAAATCTTCCTAAATTTTTCACTTCACTCCCATTGGCAGTTCAGTTTTCTAGAATTACACCCATTTAAAAACTCCTGAATACGGAACACACATTAACTTGGTCAGAAACTACAAACTTCTAATGCTGATTTTCAGTTACACAAGATTGAAACAGAACATGTACAGTTGGTTTTTAATATAAATAAATGAAATGCTTTGTAAATGTCAGTGGAACAAAAACCCAACAACATGAAAATTTATTAAATCTGAATGCTTGTTTTAGTTTATATATACAGTACTAGTCTGTATTAAAAAAAGGCCAACATTTATAGCATCAAATGTAAAGTTAAGAGAACTGATTTGAAATAGAAACTGGTTTGGTAGCTTCAAATTAGCTGATAGCAACATTAATTGGTTTTTACCCCTCCAGTAATTTGTATATGTATAAATGACTATGCATGTCACACATTCATACATAGTTGTAGTAACTTGTAGATCCCATATGTTTTTACATGTTACAGATAAACTTTCTAAGGTTTCTCTTTGTGTAGACAAACAAGTAGTACCTCTAGCTATATGAATGTATGTACAAATGAAAATAAACAATTCCATTGTTTACACTTACAGACAAAGTGTATGATATATATAATGAAATAGATTTGGTGTTTGTTTCTCTCTGATGTAACAGTTCCTTTGTGTTACTATAAACAGTAGATAATCACCTATCTTTGTTAATTTACAGGGGCCATGGGATTACTCAATACTATGTTCTATCAAAACAAATACAATTAATACTCAAAGCATTTTTTAGGCTGCTATTTATTTTTAGAAATACAATTTGACTTTCATTTTATTTTCCATTGTTAAACAGTAAAAATAAACTCTTATCAGAAATGAAATTGTCTGTTCCATTCATTATTTAGGAGTTCAATAATTGACCCATATTTTGGACATCTTTAGTAGGAGGTTATAACAGCAAACATGCATTACAGAACTTCAGATAGTTTTTATACAAAAAAATCAGTTTGACAATGTCACTTTAATTTCTTAACTCTCTCAATAAAATGTTTGATGGAGGTTATCAAAATGAAGAAATACATCATTTTCACACATCAATAGTCTTTCAATATACTGATAAGAGATAATAGAACTTGATGGTCATTTTGACCTTAATTGCCTGAAGGTCAGACATTGATGGATGTGCCTAATTTAACCACTGCTTTTCAACAATGGCCCCAAAATTCATTACTTAATGTAAAGTAAAGAAACTTGGCAGGTGCCCCCTTTCAAGTTTCAACTTTGATGGTAGTTTCATAAATAAATTTAAATTAGTTACAGTTCACTTCTGTCAGCAGTGTGGAAAAGGTTAATCACCCAAAATTGATTGATGAAATATCTTTGTGGATTTCAAAAACAGATTTTGTTTATGTAAGAAGGTGGTTTAATGAAATGTCTAAAACTACACTGAATTTTGTAATTCCTGAGATATTTATCTGAGCATCTATTTAATCCATATATTTCCAATCAGTGTAAAATCTACAAGGTAAACAGGAGTTAGTGAGATAGTGTATATGTAATCAATGGTCCCAGGTTACTAAAAGAGTAACTATAATAGCATTTGTTTGGGTCATTTGTATTATGAGGAAAGTGCAAAATTTTGTTAATACAATTAAGTGACAATGACGAAATTATTGAATAGGAAATGCTTTGATATTTTTCCATATTGATTGGTACTGATGCATCAGTAATATTTTTATACCATTAACACCCTTTTATGCAAAAATGAGAGACCTTGGTAACTTGTAACCTTGCACTTATGACACCCATTACAAAGAATTCCAAACACTTTTGTCTCTGTCCACTAATTGATAAATCTAGTTTACTGGGCAATAATGTAATTGTTTTCATCTCTTATAATTAAATACTGCACACTTGATAATATTGTCTAGTTTGAAAATCTAGTGACCCCAGAAGTTATCAGCAGTATTTGGGTGGGCTTTTGTTGTTTTTATCCATTTATCTGGGATGTTTGGATAATTTATGGCTATTTAGAAATAGAGGGATTTATTATCCAATTTTAGCTCAATGGTGACTTATGTATGGCTTAAATTTGAATAGGTGATTTATGTATTAAAGGGATTTCATGTAAATTTCTCTAAACAATCTGTCTTGCATTATAGAACCTAGAGGTTTAGGGTACAAATATATGTGCTATTCCACTTTTTAAAGTGAGGAAGCTAAGGGGACAAACCTTTTCATTTTTTTTGGGAGGAGAATTTTACAAAAATAATGGTTATTCTGGCCTGGTAAGAGCTGAAAATAAATAATCTTACACAGAAGACAGGATGAAAATGAATATTCTGCACCACAAGAAACAGCTGGGTGCAAAAGTGATGATAAATTTTCAAAAAAATTAGCATTTGTACATGTATCAACAGACGAAAATGAATATTCAATCTGCAAAAAATCCTCCTTGTTAATTTTCAGCTGAAGCGTAAAAAAAAATGTATTTTCAGAAAATTAGGAATACTTTTTTAGTTGCTGGAATACACATGATACTCTCTTTTTAGAAAGAAAAGATGGGGAAATTTTTGCAAATGAATTTGCTATCTTGATATCAAAAATGTAATTCTGCATCAAGACAAAACGAAGTGCCTATAAAAGTTAAAAAAACAAAACAAAAGGTTTTAAGTGTAACACAATAGTACCTTTGTTATGTGGATAAAACATACAGGTTTTACATGCTATTCTTAGTCTATTGATCTTTACATGTTATATGGACTGGATTTTATACAAAATACACCCACTGACAAGAATGGTGTTATCTTGATCCTATCTTATTACTTATGGACTTATTTTCCCTTTGTTTCTATTGCATAATCCTGTCTGTCCTCATCAAATGCAATCAAAAAGTGTGCTGTTTTATATTATCTTAGTGATTTTATCAAATGCACCACTTTGCAATTTTTTTACAATTTTTAAAATGTTTCATTGTTAAGATGACATTTTTAATATATTACAACCAGTTGGACATTAAATTCATACAATAAAATCAAAATGAAACTCTTCAATTTACTATTTTCTTTTCATAAGCTACATCTCTGAGATATTATGAAGATCTTAATTCAAACTGATGAATTATTGTAAAAAATGAAAAAGATATGGTTCAAATTTCAGTGCTGGTAATCGCCCATGATGGGAGCTTACACATGATTAAGGTTTAAGATTTATACCTAACAAAATATGATACTAAGACAAATTGTCAGGCTATAAAAAGTCACACAGTTTATAGTTCATTTGAAGTTTGAAGACTGAGTGGTCAAATTTTCGTCTGATTTATGAGCAATAAGTGATGTTCAGATATGATTTCCTCTGAGTGGAAAACAGCAGCAAATTATTTCAAAATTTTGTTCAGGTTTTCAAGATACTTAAAACTAAAATTAAGATTATTTATTGCATCGTCCAAAGTTAAAGAGGATATTTTACTGTAAACATTATAACAATTAAAGAAATTCAACAGACATTAAGTATTTTCAAGGTGACATTGAAAGGAAAGATCATAAATTTTTAATCCTTTCTTTAGAATCATGTGAACAGATCATTATATTTTTACTGGTCCAATCCTGCAAGCATATTTTCATAAAGGGGATGCTGTTGTGATGTGACACTTAATTAACCACGTCTCACTTAATTAGTTCTCATTACATTGATAAGTATTAAAATAAAATGTTTTAAATTTTTTTGAGATTATAGTCAGATGAAAAAGGTAGTGTAGTTAATGCTGGAAAAAAAATGTAGGTCCTCAGGTAGAAGAAAATACA